CAAGACTCTGTCTCAAAAAAAAGAAAAAAGAAAAAAAGGTCTAAGGCATATTCAATAAATGGTACTGGCACAAGTAGATTTCTACAATCTAGATTTTTACCTGGAGGGGAAAAAATGCCTGGACCCACACCACATCACACACAACAATAAAAGGGAGATTAATCATATTTTTAAATGTGAAAACCAAATTTATAATGCTTCTCAAAACACAACAGAATATATTCATGACTTTGGAATAGGCAAAGATTTCTTAGAACACAAAAGGTGTTAATTTAAAAGTTGTTGATTGGGATTCTGCAAAATTAAGAAACTTCTCCTCATCAAAAGACATTACTTAAAAAATGGAAACACAAGCCAAAGACTGGAATAAAGTATTCACAATCCATATATCCAAAAGAAGATGCTTATTCAGATTACATAAATAACTTGTACAAATAGATTTTTTAAATTGCTTATAGGTATGAAAACATGCTCAACATCATTAGTCATCAGGGAAATGCAAATTTAAACAACCACGGTACCACTTTACATTCATTAGAATGGCTTAAAATTTGTGTGTGTGTGTGTGTCTCTCTGTCACCCAGAGAGAGAGTATGTGTGTGTGTGTGTGTCTCGCTCTGTCGCCCAGGCTGGAGTGCAGTGGTGTGATCTTGGCTCACTGCAACCCCTACCTCCCAGGTCAAAGTGATTCTCCTGCCTCAGCCTCCTTTGTAGCTAGGACTACAGGCGCGCACCACCACATACAGCTAATTTTTGTATTTTTAGTGCAGATGGGGTTTCACCATGTTGGCCAGGTTGGTCTTAAACTCCTGACCTCAAGTGATCCACTTGGGTCCTGAACTCCTGAGCTCAAGCGATCTACCCGCCTTGGCCTCCCAAAGTGCTGGGATTACAGGCATGAGCCACTGCACCTGGCCAAAATGGCTTTTAAAAAGAGTGCTAACACCAGATATTGGTGAGGATGTGGACAAACTAGAATTCTTAAACATTGCTTGAGGGAATACAAATAGTTAAAACCATTTGGAAACTGGGCAATTTCTAATGATGTTAAATAATGTCTACCCTATTACCAAGCAATTACACTTCCAGTTTCAGGGATGAATACCTTTATTTGGAGAAACATTCTTTAATACATTATTCAATAATTACTGAGCCTGTGTTTTCTAAGTTACATGTTAAGTGTTGAGGACAAAGAGGTGATCAGTCACTGGCTCTATGAAGCACAACAGGCATACAATTTCCAAAAGGGGGATGGATGCACGTAAATCTTCTATAAATTTAGAGTACGTTTTCCCAAACTTACCTGATGTAAGAATCACTTGGGGCGCTCATTAAAAATATAGATTCAACAGCCTAATTTGGGGCTCAGAAACAATACTTGAGGACAACAGTCTACAACCTTTTTGGTACCAGACACCAGTTTTGTGTAAGATAATTTTTCCACGGACCGGAGGATTGGAGGTAGGGTAGTGGCTTTGAGCTGAAACTGTTCCACCTCAGATCATCAGGCATTAGTTAGATTCTCATAGGTAGCACGCAACCTAGATCCCTCACATGCACAGAGTTCCTATGAGAATCTAATGCTGCTGCTGATCTGACAGGAGGCAGAGCTCAGGCTGGGGGTTGGGAACCCCTGCCCTAAGAAATTCCTACAGTCTGGATATTTTGAGAAGCACAAGGTGCTATGGGAAATATTCAAGACTTAACCTAGTCTAAGGATTAGTGAAGGCTTTTCAGAGAGTTACTTAACCTCAGATCTGAATGATGAGTAAGAGCTAGCCATTGGGGGTAGGACTCCTTTAGTATTGATTTTGACTGAAAGGATAAAATGTAACATGCTCAAAAATGTATTTGGAGTTTTTCAAACTGCTAGTTGTTTTTAAAAAGCAATTAATTTTATGTTCAAATCCTTGCTAGAAAAAAGGATAAAAAGAAATTAAAAACTAAAATTCTGACCAAGAAAAATATAACCTGTACCTACTTTGGGATTCACAAAGTTAAATAAGACAATTAGGGGTTAAATAAGACAGTTACATAGACAATAATTGTACAGCATGGTTGCATTAATAAAGGTAAGGAAAAACTTATCAAAAAAGTAAATGATGGTCAAGTAGGGGCTAGCCAGGCTAAGAAGCAGGAAAGGGCATAGAGCATCCCAATGTAAAAGGAGAAATAAGGAATGGCTCCAAGATAAGAGTCATTCCTTCTTCTTAGATGATAACTAGAGTTATTATGTATGAAAATGAACTAGTCTGGTCAGGTGCAGTGGCTCACACTTGTAATCCCAGCACTACAGGAGGCCGAGGCAGGCAGATTGCTTGAGCTCAGGAGTTCCAGACCAGCCTAGGCAACATGGTGAAACCTGTCTCTAACAAAAATATAAGAAATTAGTTGGGCATGGTGGTGCAAGCCTGTGTTCCCAGCTACTTGGGAAGCTGAAGTGGGAGGATCACTTGAACCCAGGAGATGGAGGTTGCAGTGGGCCAAGATAATTCAAACACATATATATTTGATACATCTGATTGTTCAAAATATTGTGTATATATATATCTAGATCAGGGTCTCACTCTGTTGCCCAGGCTGGAGGCTGGAGTGCTATGGCAGCAACACAGCTCATGGCAGTCTCAACCTCCCTGGGGGGTTCAGGTGATCCTCCCACCTCAGCCTCCTGAGTGGCTGAACTACAGGCATGCACCACCATGCCTGGATAACTTTTTTGTAGAGACAGGGCTTCACCATGCTGCCCAGGATGGTCTCCTCGCTCATGGGATCCACCCACCTCAGTCTTCCAAAGTGTTGGGATTATAGGCATGAACCACTGCACCCAGCCAGCTCTTCATATTCTTAAAAAGTATTGAGAACCCTGGCTGGGCACGGTGGCTCACGCCTGTAATCCCAACACTTTGGGAGGCTGAGGTGGGTGGATTACTTGAGGTCAGGAGTTTGAGACCAGTCTGGCCAACATGGTGAAACCCTGTCTCTACTAAAAATACAAAAAATTAGCTGGGTGTAGTAGTGGGTGCCTGTAATCCCAGCTACTCAGGAGGCTGAGCCAGGAGAATCACTTGAATCCGGGAGGCAGAGGTTGCAGTGAGCCAAGAGCACGTCATTGCACTCCAGCCTGGGTAACAAGAGTGAAACTCTGTCTCAAAAAAAAAAAAAAAAAAAAAATTGAGAGTCCCAAGGAGTATTTTTTTTATTTGGGTAATATCCATCAATACTTACCATATTACAAATTAAAGCAACATTTTCAAATATTTATTAATTTATTCTTAGAAAGTACATTCATTACTTAAGTAAAGTTTTAAATTAAAAACACATTTTCAAAAAATTGGTGAGAAAAGCAACACTATTTCAAGCTGGATTCTCATTCACATCTGATTCTACACTCAAATCTGCATTTACTGAAATCTGCAGTGTGTTGCAAGCTTCATTCTTAAATATGAAGACACCCAAAGTTAAAAACGTTTGCCAAAGAGAAAATTGTAGTATAACGAAAGTACTTGTAGATCATGTATGCCCTAGAGGTCTATTATCTAGAATATAGAAAAAACTCTTACAACTGAACAATAAAAAGGCAAACCACCCAATATTAAGAATGAGCAAATGACTTGACAAAGAGGATATAAAAATAGCCAATAAACACATGAAAATATGCTCAATTTATCAAGAGTCATGGGGGAAATGCAAATCAAAACCAAAAGATATCACTTCACACCCACTAGGATGACAGTAACAGTTAACAGTAACAGTGTTGAGCAGGTCATGGAGAAATCAGAACCCTCATCCATTGCTGGTGGGAATGTAACATGGGGCAGCCACTCTGGAGAAGTATGGCAGTTCCTCAGAAAGTTAAACACAAGATAACCACATGATCCAGCAACTCTACTCCTAGGTACATGCCCATTTTTATTATTTTCTTTTAGTTCTCACTTACCAAACTATTTCCTCCAGTGCACCAAACTCCAGGGAATGGTATCGCCAGAACTCAGCCAGAAATCACAGGACTAGCCCTTGACACCTACCTCCCTTCTCTCTGAGGTCTTGTCAATTTTAACTCCTGACTCTCACAACTATTCAGGCAATCATCTCACATCTGGCCAGAATCATCTTTCTAAAATGCTTATCGAATCAGTTACGCTCCTGCTTAAAACTCAGCAACGGACTGTCACTGTTTTCAGACAGATGAAAATCTGAATAAGCCCTGTAAAACCCAACAATGGTCCTCTGTGTTAACCTGGGCACTTTGTGTCTTCCAGATACACCCTCCTTTCCTTTTCCTTAAAAAGTCAGGCCCTGGCCGGGCGCGGTGGCTCACGCCTGTAATCCCAGCACTTTGGGAGGCCGAGGCGGGTGGATCACGAGGTCAGGAGATCGAGACCAAACCCCTAAAAATACAAAAAGTCTCTACTAAAAATACAAAAAGTCAGGTCCTGTTCGTTCTCTCGCCTGCCCACTCCCCACCCCACCTTTAATTCACGCTCAACTTCAGATCCCATCTTAAATACGCGCTTCTTAGGGAAACCGTCCGGGCCCCTCACACTAGGTCAGGAGCTGGTGCCTCCTCCAGGGCGTCCGACGCGTCAAGGGCACACACGCCTGAGTACAGAATGCACCTCGCGTCCCCCTGTCGCTAGAGTCCCCGCCACGCAGCAGAGGCTCCACCAGTCTCCGCGGCAAGAATAAGCATATACGCGAATTTCTAGCTTTCCCCAGGGACATAACCGCGTTTGAGTGACCAGCCCCCCGCGACTTCGTTCGAGACCGACTTTTGCGGTGCCGGCACTCCAGTGCCGCCCGAGGAACGCGCCAGTCCCCAGCCCGCCTCGCTGGCCTCGCCTACACCGCCGTTCGGAGTCCCCGCGTGCCTCAGCGGGACGGGCCTTGCCGCCGGGACCGGCCCCACGCGGGGTTCGCCATCCCCAACCGCTCAAGCCCATGGCCTCGCCCTCGCCGGCCTCGCCGCCCGACCTGCCGCCCCGCGTCTCTGTCCGTCGCACCTCGGAGCCGCTAGATAGCTACCGCCGCTGCCCCCTCCAAGGGCCAGCGTCCCGCTCTCTGCAGCCGCCTCCGAGCCAGTGGCGTCACCAGAGCCAGCCGCGGCGCCTGCCGGGTAACGGTCACCGGCGGCCCGCCCACCGCCTGTTGGTCGGTATGAAAAGCACGGCACTGTGATTGGCCCAGCCTGTGGGCGCGAAAGCGCGGGAAGGAGGCCGCGTACTTGAATATTGCATGACGTAGAAGAGATTGTGGGCGTCTGGCTTGGAGCGCATAGCGCCCTCAGGACTTTCCCGCTTTGCAGCCTGAAACCCTCTTCTGGACCGCGCAGCTCTGCAAAGCCACCATATGAAAATACTTGGAAGCGCTGCTTCTGCCAGCAGAGGCCGGACTGCCCCTCGTTTGGGTCTGGTGCAGGCCGAATCCTCCGCCCTCCGTGGTGGGACGGGGCCCGGCCTCCTTGCCGAACTGTTTCCCAGGCCGCATGGTCCCTCCTGGTGTTTGGCTTGTCCTCTGCCCATCTTCTGGAAATGCCCTTAGCAGGGTCGGGCCGCGGCTAGGATGAGGCCAGTGAGGCATTTGTCACGGGCACAGGAGTTTAGAGGCTGCCCAAATCGCAGCAATCAAGATAAATAATATTTTAATGCAGTCTCTAAAAAAGGTCAAGAGTAATGAAAAAATTCAGTCCTATTTTTTCCTTTCACATCAGACTCTTAAAATGGCTCCACAGGGTACATTGTTACTGGTCCTGTCTTTATTTAAAATTTGAATATTCTGGGCCGGGTGCGGTGGCTCACGCCTGTAATCCCAGCACTTTAGGAGGCCAAGGCAGGCGGATCACCTGAAGTCAGGAGTTCAAAACCAGCCTGGCCAACATGGCGAAACCCCGTCTCTACTAAAAATACAAAAATTACCCGGGCGTGGTGGTGGACGCCTGTGATCCCAGCTACTCAGGAGGCTGAGGCAGGAGAGTCGCTTGAACCCAGGAGGTGGAGGTTGCAGTGAGCTGAGATCACCCCGTTGCACTCCAGCCTGGATGACGACAGAGCGAGACTCCATCTCAAAATAAATAAAATTAAATTAGATTTGAATATTTTATTATGGATTTTTTGCATTAATTTCGATTTTTTAAAAGACTGCATTAAAATATTAGATTACTGAGTTTTTGCATCCCCCCCCCCCCCCATATTTTGTGCCTGGTGTCATCCCTGATAGGGAATTTAAACCTGTACAAAATGATACAGTCCTGAAGGGGTGGGGACAGGATAGTGCTGCAGATGACTTCATTTGCTTATTAGTCTAAACATGCACTTGATTGTTGAGCCATGGGGGACTTTGGATAGGTGGCAGATAGAGGAGGGGCTCTGAAACTGCACCTACCCCCAAGTTGTCCCCTCAAATGAGGCTGCAGCCTCTGAAATGCACTTCATTCATTCATTCATTCATTCTGCAGATTGCTCTTGGCCTGCCAGGGGCCAGGGGCTGAGGGTGCAGGGGTGGACAGTGGACCGTGAGCATGGATCTTGAGATGATGTAATACACTTATTGCAAATCCTGCCGTTACCGAAAATGCTTTGAAGTGTCTTTTAAAGTGATATGGCCTATCCTTTTACGTGGATTTCATTTGGAAGTGCCTATATCATTTGAAGTTAACACCAGTGGCTGGAGAGGGCAGCCACGGCAGCAGCAGGCCAGAGCTGCTGATGAGATTATGAGGTCTGGCCTCTGTTATAGAAAGGGGTTCAGACTGAGGCTCACATTAGGAGGCTGGACACTCTCCCCTGGGCTGTTGGGCAGATGGCATCTAGAGCAGGACTGGGCCATGGTGACCCTGGAAGGGGTGGCTCTGGAAGTGTGTCCGTGGGCCAGCAACCCTGATGTCAAGACAGCTGGAAACCACATTCTACTCCAGGCCCTTGGCGTTTCTCCTTTGACTGCTCCAGCACTGTTAGAATTTTGAGAAATTCCTCTGCTGAACAGACATTTGCCAAACGCTTATTTCACTGTTGGTCTCTTCTCCACCCTGTGAGTGGGTACAACACAGAATGAGTCAAATCTTTCATATGTCAACCTTTTAAACCATCGAAGGCAGTGCTCATGCCCCTTAGGGAGGATTATTGGGATTCGGGGAAGAGAGATGAGATGTTGTGTTATGAGTGGACGGGCTGAGCACAGATATCACATGTGTCACCAGGCTACAGAAAAGGTAAGCTGTGCTGGACAGTGATGCTGTGCTTACAGGCAAGCCACGGAGCAGGTGGCAGGAGGGGCTGCCGCGTGTTGGCAGGGAGGCGGGTTGAAGGGCAAATGGGCTGTTTGCATGGGACACACCAAGCCTCCTGCTACTGCAAGGGGAAGAAACATTCCCGCTTAAGTGACCTCAGCTGTTTTTGTGTAACTGTGGGATCCAGTGTCCTTGTTTTGCCTTCCTCTAGGCTCTTTGAGGTGTTTAGTTTTGTTTTTTGAGACAGCCTTGTTCTGTTGCCCAGGCTGGAGTTCAGTGGCACAATCTCAGATCAATGCAACCTCCGCCTCCCAAGTTCAAGCGATTCTCCTGCCTTAGCCTCCCAGTAGCTGGGATTACAGGTGCCTGCCACCACACTCAGCTAATTTTTGTATTTTTAATAGAGATGGGGTTCCACCATGTTGGTCAGGCTGGTCTCGAACTCCTGACCTCAAGTGATCCACCCGCTTCGGCCTCCCAAAGTGCTGGGATTACTGGCTTGAGCCACCACGCCTGGCCCACTTTGAGTTTTTTTGACACTGTCTCCAGATACTCCCCATTGGCCCTATGGCATGGGACCCTTGCTCCTCTTGGTCCGAGTTTCCTGTGTCTGTGTATGGAGCTAGTGGTTCTGCCTTTTCTGCCAGGGAGCTCTACCACGTTTGGACTTAAGTAATTGATTTGGGGATTATATTGTTTTGATGTGAAATTTTACATTTTTATTAAATCCATCAGTCTCTTTGTCTTTATTTTCAGTGATATTAGAGATTCTTACTCCAGCTCAAGTTCAGAATAATCATATTCAAACAATAGTTTTTGTTTGTTTTTGAGACATGGTCTTACTCTGTCACCCAGACTGGAGTGCAGTGGCACGATCTCGGCTCACTGCAACCTCCATCTCCTAGGTTCAAGCCATTCTCCTGCCTCAGCCTTTCGAGTAGCTGGGCTTACAGGCTTGCACCATCACACCCAGCTATCCTTTTTAGAGATGGGGTTTTGCCATGTTGGCCAGGCTGGTCTCGAACTCCTAACCTCAAGTGATCTGCCTGCTTTGGCCTCCCAAAGTGCTGGGATTACAGACGTGAGTCACCATGCCCAGTCACGCAATAACTTTGATTTGTGCCTTTTATGATTTGATTTTTTACACTTAATTTTTTCCTTATCACTTTGAAATATTTTAACGTTATTAAAGTCACATGTGTTTAATGTAGACAATGCAGAAAAGGGTGAAAAAGAAAATAAAAATCTCCTATAATCCTGTTTCTCACAGAGCCTCACTGTGGGCGTTTTCGAGGAGCTATCTATAGAGAGAAACCATGGAGCTGCTCTCCCACATGGACTGTGATGCCTTTAGACATTTTTAACCTCTCTATTCAGGAGCCGTTAGAATTTCTTATTCCGCAAACACCTACTGAGGTCTTGCTCTGCATCAGGCAGGCCATGGAATGAAAAGCTTACGGCAGTTCTTGAAGAACGTACAGTCTAACTGATACCACACAACTTACTGGGGGCTAAAATGTGTGGAACAGACAGGATGCAGAAAAGGGCGCTGTGTTTGTGGAGCAGTCTCAATAGCATGGAAGCCACACCCTGGGAATCCTCAGGGAGTGCAGAAAATAACGCAGAGCAGAGCAGCTGGGCCCTTTTGACCAAGGCGGGGTCGCCCCATTGCAGGGACCTGTCTATCCTTGCACCTTTGTAACACTGAAAATACCTGGCAGAGGCCCCCTCAACTGTTGTTTTATCAAAGTCATCTAGTCTGGTTGCAATTTTTTTTTTTTAAACTTCCAGGTGAATATTAGAATAATTTTGTTGTTTGCGGGGCATGGTGGCTCATGCCTGTAATCCCAGCACTTTTGGATGAGACAGGAGGGTTGCTTGAGGCCAGGAGTTTGAGGCTGCAGTGAGCTCCGTGTACTGCAGTACACGCCACTGCACTCCAGCCTGAGCGAGTGTGAGATCTTTCTTTTCTTATAAAAAAGAAAGAAAAAAAACCCCAATAATTTTGTGAGATTACCTCCCCAAAAATCTCAAAGGGGTTCTCATAAGAAATGTATTAAATCTGGTGGGGCGCAGTGGCTCATGCCTGTAATCCCAGCACTTTGGGAGGCCGAGGCAGGCGGATCACAAGGTTAAGAGATCGAGACCAACCTGGCTAACATGGTGAAACCCCTTCTCTACTAAAAATACAAAAAATTAGCCAGGTGTGGTGGCGGGCGCCTGTAGTCCCAGCTACTCAGGAGGCTGAGGCAGGAGAATGGCATGAACCTGGGAGGTAGAGCTTGCAGTGAGCCAAGATTGCACCACTGCACTCCAGGCTGGGCAACATAGCGAGACTCGTCTCAAAAAATAAAAATAAATAAATAAATAAAATAAAATAAAAAATAATAGATAAGAAATGTGCTAAATATGAAAGTTTTATGTTTATGATATTTATTCTTACCATACATCTTTCTCCATTTTTTTTGTCTTGTATCTCAGCAGAATGTATAAATTTCCTAATGTAGGTTCTTCTATTTCTTAGGATTATTATTATTGCTTCCGTTTGTCGGGGAGGCTTTTTTTGGGTGAGTTTTTTTTTTTTTTTTTTTTCCCCGTCTCACTCTGTCCCCCAGGCTGGAGTGCAGTGGCGCAATCTCGGCTCACTGCAAGCTCTGCCTCCCAGGTTCAGCCTCCCAAGTAGCTGGGACTACAGGTGCCAGCCACCATGCCCAGCTAATTCGTTGTATTTTTAATAGAGATGGGGTTTCACCATGTTAGTCAGGATGGTCTCGATCTCCTGACCTCGTGATCCACCCGCCTTGGCCTCCCAAAGTGCTGGGATTACAGGCGTGAACCACTGTGCCTGGCCTTTTGTATGGTTTTTGTTTGCGATTATGAGCTCCTAATGAACTAATCTTTAGTTAGATAGATTTCTAAATCTAACTGGTAAGTTTTGATACATAGGAAAGCTATTGATTTCTGAACATTAATCACATATCCTAGTATTTTAAGGAATTCTCATTACATCATCAGTAGTTTTGCAATTGACTACAAACAATACTTATGTTGCCAGTTTTCCAATATTATATCTTATTACTATTTTGTGTTTTGCTGTGCTGTCTGAAACTTTACAGTAGTGCTAAACTTAAGGGCTTCAAGGCATCTTTTTTTCTTCCAGATTTAAATGTAAATGTGTCAATTTGCTGTTTTTCTACCAAATGTGATGTTAACTGTTTGAGATAGTATTTTTAACAATATTGCAG